AAGCCATGCAACGCGAGCTGAGCAACATGCGCAACTTCCTTGAAAAACTCCGTTTAGAAAACAAAAGCATTCTGGAGGAACAGCATCAGAAAGATGTCGCGCTCAAAAATGTCATCGATAAGGTATAAAATATTTGTACTGTTATTATTTATTTATCAATGTTAATATTAGAATTTGCAACTAATTAAAAAAAAACTATTATTATTTCCAGATCAGAGAACTTAAAGAAAAATTACACGAGTCTACAGACAAATCTAAGAGTTCAGAGAAACGAGCCAAGCAACTTGAAGAGATGCTTAATGTAAGTGAATTTCAAAGAGTAATATTTGTTTGAAATTACGTAATTACCAGTTTATTTACAACAGGATGAGGAGCGATACGCTAGTCAGATGAACTTGAACCAGCAGCGCGCAATGCACTGCTCCTTCATGGAGAATCAGAAGCTTCTAGAATTAAGGAACGAAGAGAAACTGTTCAGCATGCAGTTGAAAGGTACACTTTGTTTTTAGAAAAAGGTAACAGTTACTAAGTAGCCTATCTTCCAGACTATCCTCTACATCTATGTCAAATCTCATCGAAATCCATTCAGCCGTTTAGGCTTAAATCTCTTACAAACATCCATCCATCTAAACTTTTGTATAATATGTATATATTACTACGGTGGTAACTTTACGTTTATCAGATTTTGTTAAAATATAATTTAAGTATCCACTTACGGTGGATTTCGATTGCAATAAACATATATTGTCATCCTTCATTTTACGTTTGAAAAGAATGAGATAACAATAATAGTTATTATATGTACAGTTTCATTACTTTTGTTCCGCAGCGTCGAAAGCAGTGATGAGTAAATTAGACACGAAGCAACGCAACATTGAACGTACTCTGCAAGGATTGAAGGAATCACTTTACGCTATTGTACGTAATAGAAGTGAATTATTTGGTGAAATTAATTGTATTTATGATAACAATGGGTATATTGCGAGCAGTGCTACCAGCTGGAGACGACGGGGGCGCGCGTGGCGCACATGGAGGGCGCGCAGGCCGAGAGGGAGTGCTCCGCGGAACTCGCTGAACAGGAAAATAGGTCATTATGTATACTAGTCTCGTCTATTGTTGTTATAGTAACTACCGATCTAATGATGTCTGCGTCCTACATCGCATTAGTTACTGCCAAAAAATTTAATATATAATGCCACGTTTAAAAACCAAATTCCATTAAAATGTTGACGTCTGTTATATTGTGAGCGGTGCCGAAGTGTTTACAACGATCCAATGTTCGTCCGTCATTCCTTTATTGTTAATTGTTTTTTTTTTTTATATAATATATTGCAACGAGCAAGCGGCCACAAGAATCTGCCGAAATGGCAAAGCGACAGCTACCCATATACATTCGCAATACCAGATGCTTTGCCTACCCTTAATTGACGGAGGAGATGCACATAAACAGGATATTTTCCCTTCCTATGCGTCTCTTCCACCGTCAAGTCCATGTTCCCTTCCCATACTTTTCTTATAAGAATAGGTAGTGAGGAAAAGGGACTAAAGTAGGGCCTTCGGTACCATACTTATCAGATGAAACGCGGAATTGTTCCCTCCCACTTCACGCCTGTCTTCTGTGTGGTCATATTTCACCGGAAAAGCCGACCCATTCGTGCGAAGATGTTAAAGTGGGCTCTATCATCATAATTATGCTTATTGTATTGTACCCCAAATAAGCCGTAATAATTAATGAATCCTGATTAACTTATTGTTTTTATAATAATTAGAATGTGTTAAGTGTATACGTAGATTAGCTAGAGACAGAGAAGGATGGCAACAAATGGAGGAGGCTTTTACCGCACTAGGCGGTCCTTTTAACGGAAAACTGAACTGAAAAAACAAAAACAAAGAAATAAATAAATAAATATAGCAATAGAAAGAAAAAAAGAGTGTTAAAACGTTTAAATTAAAATGTAAGGAAAAAATGTATGTTGAAAGGAATCAATAAATGCTTTTTATTTTATTTTATTTATTTTATAAGTGTATACGTAGACTGAAGGAGGTGTGCGCGCGGCACGCGGCGCGCGTGGCGCTGCTGGAGCGGCACGCCGCGCGGCTGCACGACGACATGCGCCGCCTCGCCAGGGACCTCGAGATCAAGAACGCGGACTTCGTTACCTTGGCAAGTAACACTAACACATTAACACACAGACCTGCATGTTATGTATTTCATAGTAATGGAAGAAACAATATTACCTTAAAATCTACTGTTGTTACGCTAGAATCCCGATGTAATCAATAATGCCAGTACAGCTAGAAAGTACCCCACGCTTGTCATAGAATCTATGGGCTCACTGATGCTAGTTAGTGTTTACATTATGCAAGTGATAATTACAAACGTTACTAGCATCATGTAAGTCATACTAGTGTTATAAATGCGAAAGTTTAGATGAATGGATGGATGTTTGTTAGAGTCTGAAGCCTAAACGGCTGAACGGATTTCTGTGAAATTTGGTATAATTGTGAAAGTTGTAGAGGATATTCTGGAAGAACACAAAGGGTATGTACTTTTGTTTTCTTTTTTACTTCCAAGTTGACGAAGTCGCGCGCGTAAGCTAGTTCGCCATAAATCTCTCGCTTTACTGGCCTGTTATATTTTTCAGCAAAGTCGTCTAAAAACATCGATGCTGAACGTGTCC